GAAAACCTTGGAGAAGCTTTCCACTGGGGTGGACCTGGACCTGAGAGAAAACATCAGAAGAATTAATCAATCCTGCTCTGGACTTTGGAGAGAACAGACCTGCTGATATTATGTGTGACTTATTTGCTTGGAAATATTTGTGGACTTGGACTTTGACCTATAAACAGAAGTTGAGGAGTTTGGAACCCTCCAGCCACAAATGGCCAACTGTGCTATTATATTTTATTTCACTAAGAGCTGGATCTTTGTGTTGGGGTCTGAGGACCTCTCACAAGAGTCACAAAAATTTGGTTTGTGCATCTACTGGGTTATATTCTTCTTTTTTTGTTTACCAAAACACATTGCTGCGCATTTTGCTGGAGCAGTAAATACAGCAATTCTATATATTTTAGAGTAAACTCCAACAAGTGAGAATTATTCCTGATTATATAAATATGCTGAAGACAAACTCTGAATGTTAAAAATTTCTACAGTTACTGATTCCAGCAGAAATAATTCGGAATTTCAAAAATGTTAGTGTATGCAGAGACAATCAAAGACATGCTTGCCCAATATCACAAATAGCATGAGGGTCATAGATTGTAATTCCACCTGTTCCATCATTATTGTGTAATCTTGAGCTCATTTGAACAGTTTTGAAAATTATCCGCATGAGAAGGAACACAGCACAAAATGCAATGAAGAACCTTCAATAAGTTGCTTACTATCCATTCAGTTTTTCCATACATATACTTATTGAAACAATAATTAGTACTTTATGATGAAACAATAAGTGTCAAGTGTCTTGGCATTTTTACGATGCATTTTTTCAACAGGAACTGCAAGTTTTATGTACGCCAATGTTCCGTTTTTTCACCTTCGATTGCTTGTCAATTTTGTTGTTCCTTTCTTTGATCATATCACATTCACAATTCCAAAGTCTGTATTTCGAATCATCCATGATTTGATAATGCCTCATCTTTGGCAATGAGTCTTGTCAATAAAGTGTTGGGAAATCAGTGCGGTTCCAGTAGACACACCATGCTGCGAAACGTTGAAAGGGAATTCCTCGTCAGGGGAATATTGCGTGGGAGCAGAATTTGAGGCTTAGACCTGAGAATAAGAGACCTCAACAATCACTGCATTTATGTGGACCACCTGTTCGTACTGTATGTGCACTTCTATATACAGTCGAACAACCCTGTTAAGACGCCCCCGGATAAAGTGCCACCCTCAGCAACCACCAACATTTTGAATGAAACAAATCTCTTCAATACTAAATGCTACAGAAAACCTCAATAAGATGCCAACTGCCATCTGCCAGCATTAGTGATGAAACAAAAGTGCTGTTTTGTGTGAGTGTTTTCTTTGTTACAGTGCCAAAATTGGAGTACAATTATATTTTCTGTCCCGAATCTTGTCTTGGTAAGAAGAAAACAAAATGACAATCTTCATTTCTCAAAAACTTTGAACAATTTATAGACCAAATTTTAAAATTTGAATAAATTGATGCAAAAAAATTAATTTTCTGAAGGAGTAATGCATAAATCACAGCAATATTCTTTGGAAAATTACTGAAGTTTCTAGAAAACTTGTATTTCTATTACTTTTGAAGGAAAATCAAGAATTTTTGATCAAATGATTTTGAATGAAATATTTGATAAACTGCCAACCCCTTCAAGCCGCCAGAATTGCTCTGGACAAATGGTGGTGTCTTATCAGGGTTTGACTGTATACATAACCATTGCTCTTATATGTGACGCATTCCAGGGACCTCACAATCGCAGTGACCGAGTTTCTCGTTGAATATTTCAAAGCACAGAAGGGCAAACGTTGCCTTAAATAGTCAGGAGTTACTGGTAAGGAACATTTGGTTTCCTGATTCCCAGGGGATAAACTGAGAGGTTCGTGAGCCCACACAATAAGGGCACATGCTGTATGGGTGCTGGGCCATTCAGAGGTGTGAGGGTCCCCTTCATGCTGTGGCTCAGAAAATTATTTGCTGAGGCTCTACTCATGACTCCAAATTTATTGCGTATCACCCTGCCAAGAGAGTCATTCAACTGGGGAAAAACAGAAGATCTACAGTACTGCCATGTGTCCTCAGCTGCTATAAATGGTGACAATGATACTTGCATATAAAAATACTGTATTGCGCTTTTCTCATCACATTATTCAACCAAGACCAGTTTCTGTTATTATCCAAGACTGGCCCTTCTTACCATCAGGTGAAATACAGGGGAACCCCAAAAAGATGCCACCATTTGTCCAGAGAAATTTTAGTGGACCCCTTGGACGGCGGAGGGTTCTTTCCCATCGCCGGCCGAAATCAGATCATTTGCTGGAAACTGTGGCAGGAATTTGTAGATAGGATGTATGGATGAAGGATCTGTACTTACAATGCAAATCCATATTTAAACTCATTTGACATTACTTGAATTGTTCAAGGGATCCTTCTTTTGTAACTGGCTGAACCAGGATCCTTGCGCTTTTACACAGAGCGGGGATCCTGCAATCAGCGCTGTAAACCTTGGCCGGTTGTGAACTTTAAGTTTGGATCTTTCAATTATTTTCATATGCTGCAGCGTTTTAATTTTTCTGAAGGTTAGAAAAGACCTTCCAGGTGGGCTGAGGCAAAGTTGGGATTAATCCAAGAAAAGCCCATTGAGTAGCATAGGATTTTTTTTCATTTTCCCATGAAATTTTTCTGTGAAAAAAGAAAAAAACATTGGATTTTTCCCCAACTTTGTCCTCAAATCCCTTTTGCCCTTTTTTTATTTTCTGCCCTGAGCTGTAACAAAATTTTGAAAAAATAGTCCACCTTTGCTGCCCAAGGGTTAAAGGGGTTGGCAGTTTATGGAATATTTCATCTTCAATTATTTCATCAAAAATGCTCAATTTAACTCCAAAAGTCATAGAAATACAGGTTTTCTAGAAACTTCAGTAATTTTCATAAGAGTATTGGAATTCAAATATTGAATTTGAAAATATTCAAATTTTAAAGTTAGGTCAGCATATTATTCAAATTTTGAAAAAAAAAAATTTATTTTCACAATTTCGAGATCCTTGACCAAAATTACAATTCCAAAACAATCTTGGCCTTGTAAGGGAGACAAAACCAAGGAAACAGCACTTTTGCTACATCACTATATAATACTGGCGGATGGCAGTTGGCGTCTTATCCAGCAGGTTTTCTTTCAGAATTTCACATGAAGCAGATTTGTTTTTTTTTTTATTTTGGCGGTTGTCAAGAGTGGCACTTTATGGGGGGGGGGGCATCTTAACGAGGTTTGACTGTAATTTGAAAAAAAGGGGGATATCCAGGTTGGAAATATTGAAACTATGGGGATGGCGAGTTTTTCTTAGAAAATGAAACTGGAAAATGGCTCCAAGAATCGATGATGGGTAAGGATTCTTCTTTAGCTCTCAACTTGCGTGGGTTTTTACTTTTTATCAAGAAGATTCTCGGAATTGTGTTTTAAAAACAGAGGAGATACATAATTAATGGAGGAGGGAAACCAGAAAAGGTATTATTAATGAGGCAAAAATTTGATAAACTATTTTCAAAAGGGGAAAGTTGCACCAAGAGTCGAAAAATTCTATATACAATTTCATCTTTCTAATAATTCAATACATACGTATTCGACCAACTTTCAAATCTGTTTGTTTTTGTTTACTTCGGAACGTGAAACTTCTGGAGAGCTGTCGTTTTTTCCCTGGCTTTTCTGACCTTCTGGGATGTGTGTATAAAAACGTGTTCCTGCGTCTGGAATATTTTTTGAATGTCTGGACATTATTTTTTAAATTTTCAAGAGTCACGGAAGTCAAATGTATTGCAGTCTTGATGAGGTCATCCGAATGTTGAGGATTCCTCCTACAATATTTGCTGCTCTGAAAGTATATTGGCAAACTGCATATGCAGCTTGAGCAAAGTGTAAAAGCAGCTAACTGGGACAATATTTGATTAAACCCCCAGATCAAATTTTTGTATATGTTTACATGTTCTGTATCTGGAAATGAGAATACAGTACATGTAATTCACCGTGATCCCACCATTCCACTGTGTGCTGCAGAGGTGATTTTCTGAGCAGGGATGAACTTGCAGAGATAAAAAGCATAGCAAATTAAAATAAAAAGCATAGAAAAAAATCCAGTGGGTGATAAATGAGGGTTGCCAAACCTATTGTAGAAATATTGGACAAGGCTGTGTCCAACTGGTACAACCCTGCAACATCATATCCGGTCAGCTGGCAGTTGGTCAAATCATGGTTGCGCACCTGCCAGCCAGCAAATACTGGTCCATCCAACTGCCAGCCAGGGCAGTCCTTGGCATTGCCAATCCCCAGCCCACCAAACTGCAGTCTGGTCACCCCATTGTCAGGGCACCCAAATAATCAGGTGACCAGAAATTTACTGATTCTTTCCAGGATTTGGTGAGCAGAATGGTTTCCTGCCATAGATTATTGTTTGTGTGCAAATTTTCAGCAATGTTAGGTTAGGTTAGGTCAGCTTAGGTTAGTCTAGGTTAGTTTAGGTTGGGTTTGATGATTTTTTAAATTTTTTGAAAATATTTGTAAGAAGAAATTTTTTACATAACATAATTTGTGGTAGGAAACCATTCATTCTGCTCACCAAAGCCTGGAACGCCACTGCAACCAGGATTTTAGAATCAACACAATTCTAGTTACCCAATTGTTGGGGTACCCTGACAATTGGGTGACCAGACCATTGTTTGGTGGGCTGGGGATTAGCAAGGCCAAGGAATGCCCTGGCTGGCAGCTGGACTGACCTGCGTTTGCTGGCTGGCAGGTGCTTGACCATGATTTTACCAACTGGTGTCTGATCAGGTACCCTGGAATATGCACCAAGTGCTCTTCATAATAACCTGTGCCTGTTTCACGTGGAGCTGGTGTGTGCATTACAATAGAGCAGCAGCAGCAGTGGGAACGTGGGTTATGTTCTGCATGAATATCAGATAGTAACCTCCTGCTGCTGCATGCTGATGCCAGCTCGTCCTGACGATGTCTGATTCGAGTTCGCATGTGTTGCAGCAGCCAGCGATTGCGTGGTGGGGGCCTGGTCCCCTTGGTCGCCCTGCGCCCAGCACCTGGGCAAGTGCTGGCACAGCGAAGGCAGGCAAGTGCGCTTCAGGGCCGTCACTGCCGCGGCCCACAACGGCGGCCGTCGCTGCCCTCGCCTGCGCCAGAAACGCAAGTGTCTCTGCAGTCGGGCCAGGCGTCCCTGAGGCCAACGTGCGGCAGGACGACACGCTGGGACGGGTCTGCGCGACGAGGTCGTTCTTTTTTCCGGTGAGCGATACACTTGACCCAAAACGCATGTAGTGTCCAACTCCATAGAATACATTGCTGAGTCCTTCTGCATGACCAAAGACTCACTCAACAAAGCATTAGAACAGTATTGGTAATGGTGGTACCCCACACTTTGACCCTGATGGTATATACATAGCTGTTGCTGGACTATTAGGGTTGAATTGCAAAATGGTTGAGTAGCGAGACACTGCAGCAGAATCAAGTGAGAGCAGCCATTATAGGTGAGTGGCAGAAACAGGTCAAATTTCAGGGCAGAGATTGGATTGCAATGAGTCAATTCAAGTATCAAATTGTGAGATGGCTGAATTGCAGGAGGTCCAATTGAGAGGTGCCATCAGTATTTAACCCTTGGACAGTGGCAGCCTCCTTTCCATCCCAGGGCAAAGTCAGACTTTTTCCCCAGTTGGGCCTGCATTTTATTTTTGCACAAGGTTGTGCAACCCCTGCCAGGTGGGGGAGGGCAAAGTTGGATTGAATCCAGGGATAAAGAAATGCTGAGAAAGTCCTGAGTCAGACTTTTTCTGTATTGACCTCTTACCTGGGCTCCTGGCTTTCAAGCTTAAATTTAATCTTTGAACAGGGAAACAACCCAAGGCTGGCCAGGGGAAAAAAAAGGGAGCTTTGAAGTTTTCATTTTTTCATTTTCAGGTGAAACTTTTTTGTGGAAAATTTAAAAAATGCCAGAATTTTTCCCAACTTTGCCCTGCAATCACTGTTGGGGTTTTTTTTTACATTCCACTATTGAGTGCAACCAAAATCTAAAAAAAAAAAGTCCAAGTTTGCCACAGAAGGGTTAAAACATTCTCCAGAGGAAAATTGTTACTCCCAGTAAGAAATTATTTCATTTCATGAAAATTGTGCCAGCAAAATGCTCAAATTTTTGAAAATGTTGGGACAAAATCTTTTTAATTTTCAAAATTCTGGTGGGGAATTACTGTACATGGAAGAAGGGTATCATTTTGCATTCTTACTCTTGGTTTATTTCAAAATTCAGAAGGTGAAGAGGAAAAATTCGTAAAGACTGATGCATGCTTGTACCACTGATGAATTTTAAATGAACTCTATCCCTAAAATTCGGGATTCCTTGATGGAAATCCCAATGGAAGGGAGCTCAGCTTAAAGGAGAAGTACAGTACATCATCATTCGTCATATGCTCATATTTGATGAGTCTTATTTTTATTTTTTTGCGTGCGTCCTTTCGCATGCAGAACAAAGTCTAATACAACACAGTATACGAAGATCTCGTGTTGTATTTGTTGATGTTTTCGCAGATGGACGGAATAGAGATGCTGGGCTTTCGCCACTTGCAGATCATCGGTCACATCCCGACCGGATTTCTTCCTTTTCGGCCGATTCCTTTCTTTCCCGCATTTGTTTGTTCCCAGGATCAATGAAGGTGGGATAATATAAGAGTTGTGGGCATTGCTTCGAGTGTTGTTTCTCCCGACTGCTGCTGCTTATCGTCAGGGTGTTCGCCTGCTGTAATCCTGACCTGATGAGTTATGTGTACTATATACACTAGCTGGCAGGAGCCCGACTTACGGACGATTCCATCACACAGGGACACTATAGAGGTAAACCGAAAGTCTGCACCGACATCTGAACAATGTCTTGTTATTTTGAGACACTCTTGAACAACATTTCTACAAAACTAGAAGATTTTTACTTTTCAACATTTGTATATCTCTTGAACAAATTGAGCTTTTTATTCATTCACAAGAATTAAAAATGGATTTCATTATGCAAATATTTACTGTGATTCATAATTCAAAACAAGCCTACTTTTGTGCTTCTTCATCATTTTTCAGCAATGCTTTCCGTGATCTGTGCGCACTGCACTGCATGGCATAGGAAGAAATGAGCTTCTTCTCTGCTCTTCCAGCTCTTTTTCAAGCAAGAAGATCCAATCAAGTGTACAGTAGTTTTCTGCTTCCCCAGCATCAGTTCCAAAGTGGGGAGCTATTCTTTGTGTGACCCCATGACTGGTGCACAGCAGGTCAAAACTGGTGTATATGGGCTATTCTGGGTTTACAAGTGTGCACTCCTGTAGAGGAAATTTTGCTACCATTCCAGGGCTACATTTGGTGCAAAAATGTGACATAACAGGAGTATCACGCAAATGCACCAAGTGTAACCTTGGTGTAACTTATTTGTTGACAAATGTGACCCTCAGTAATCCTGGTGTGAACACACAATTGGTGCACATTAGGGATATGCATGTGCACTTCAGGTGCACAGCAGGGTCATTGTGGGGAAATAAATGCATATTTGAAGTGTGCACCATTTCCCCCACTCAGGTTATTTTCAGGGTCTTGAAGTTGAGAAAAATTATTAGGGTACATTAGATTTTTGGGGACTTCTCCAAATTTGTTTTCCAAGAGGAGGAACAATTACAGTGCATGTACGTATCCCCATTCAAGCATGTTATGGAAAACATGGGTTTTTAGTAGGCATATGTTTCGACGTAGGGAAAGCAAGGTCCAAGCCACAAGGAAGTCCGCATCTCGGGGCCCAGCCGTATGATGCATGCACTGCAGTATATTGATCCTGCTACAGGAAATGAGCACCAGTTCCATGTCTCCTGCGAGCTTTTGTCCCTGTTTTGTGTGCTGAAGGTGAAAGAAGGCATGTCGGACGCAGTTTCCCGGTTTGGAATGATGCAAATGCCACGGTTCATGAATTAAGATCACGTCAGTGTTCTTGTTATGGATAGAGTTGTTCGGTGCGGGAAGCGTCTTGCGAGGCTATCGGGAAACCCGCGTGGAGCATTGATTACCCGCTGCTGCTGCTTCTCGAGCATCGATCAACCCTCGTCTACCTTTATTGTACCTCCATGTGAGAGATATTGTAATTGTATTAGTGCAACTCGGAATCTTGTTTCGCATCCACGTACTATGTACATCAGGGGCAAGCACATGATGGTTCGTTCGAGTACACGGTAGTACGACATTCCCGGGCAGCGATGAGCATCAGCATGCAGGACTCGGCTTGTTCATGCCTTGTTGCGTGCATTGCTTGCTCCTCATCGGAATTGAACCGACTCCTCCACGTGATTTCCATCCATCCATGCAACAGAAATATCGTCATCATCATCATCATCTCATCCTCCTGTCTCATCCATGCTGATTATTGTGGTTCCATTAAATGCCAGACCAGATCTAACTTGAATGAATGAATAAACAGAACACTTTATTTGCCGCTTTTCAGCATTCACAAGGTTCAATCACGATTTCCACAACCAAATTCTTCTGGATATAAATGACGGGCAAGAATAAAAACATAGTGCAGGTCAGATTCGACAAAATTGCGGTACCCACATAACTTTCTTGTTCCATTTCCCCATGTTCAACATGAGTGCTGTTAGGTGATGAAGAAAACTTTAATTTGTGGGCTGATGGAAGCCTGTAAGGTCACTGCCCTGACCAGGATTTTTGAACCAAGATTCGCCTGACCGTCTGTGGCCTATGAGTGTTCTGATGGCAATCGGGTGACCCAATCTCTGTTCGGCAGTCTGATGGGGATCAGGGAAGCCTTCCATGCTACTGTACTGAACTGGCTGATGGGGGTTGGAGGGACCGGCCTTTGGCAAATGCTGATGGTGGGTGCGTGACTGTGGATTGCTCATCTGGCGCATGATGACCCAGCTGTGGCAATAAAGGCAACAAATTTGCAGTGGGGTCAAGGCTTACAAACGCCCTGCTGGCTTATGAGCTGTTGGTTTGGACCTCAGGAGCCACAGCTTATGAACCCTGACCCAGTTAACAAACTTTGGGCACATCAATAATTATAAAAAAAATTTCAATAAAAAATGAGGAAATACTGGTTTGCTTCTTAATTTACTTCTGTGGTTCACCATTCCCCTCATTGCGGTTTAAAAAGTTTTCTCATTTCTTCTGAACTGGCTGGGAGTTGAATGCATCTCAGTTTTTTTAGATGTTTTGCCTTGACAAGGAGTACTATATACAGTACTATTTTTTGCAAGTAAATCAACAACACCCATCACTGATTTGTAAATTCAGCTAGGCATCAGCTGAACTTTTGCAGATGGTATAGGATTTAGTAAAATTACCACACATATACGAAACAATTAGAGTATACAATTTATCATTGCCTACAAAAACATCAGCTTTCTTTATTTTCAAAACTTGATGAGGTCCTCTTAATCCATCAAAAATTCCTGTAATATTTTCACCAATTTTTGAAGAAAAAAAGCCATTGAATCATTTCAACATTCTCATTCATGTTCAGAATTCCAACTGTTCTCACTAGATCAGTCATGCAATTCCACAAAATCTTTCAAGAAATATTTTGTAATGATGGATTTTTGTTAGCCTGTATGGAGTCCATCCTGTTATATTAAAGTTTAAAAATCAGAAGCATTGTTAATTACTGCAAAATTTAGAGAGGCATTTGAATGAAGCATTCTCTGTACCCCTTGAAACCCGTTCTGTAGCAGTTTTGTCTACAGCTAAAATTGAAAACTTTGAATGTCCCATGAATCAGCAGAGAATTGTCCATTTGGGCATTTTTTAAATCATTATTTGGTGTGATTATTAAATTCTAAAATGAGATTTTTCAAATTAAATGATATTTCATGGAAATTCTTCAACATTTGTGTGTTCACTACACACATTGACCCCATGCAGAAATGGCAAAAACAAATTTATTCCAAATTTTTGAAAAAAGCTCACATAAGAATAAATGTTCAAGGGGCTGTTGTACTTCATAGATTTTCTCATATATTTTCAAAGAAAAAATTAATTGATATTAGGCCTAGTAAGATTTTTCAGGAAACATTTCTTTATTTCCATGGGCATTTTCAAGGCTGTGGAACCAATTAAATGTATTCCTTCAATTTCTAAAAGGAAAATTTGATTTGGAAAATAAACTATTTGTTCAACAAACTTTCCTCAGGAATGCATTAAGTTCGTAAGCCAAGACCCCACTGTACTACACAAAATTGGTGGAGGAAAACCATTGGAAAAGAGAGGCACACAATATATCCCTAAAAGAGTTTCAAATTTTGACATTTAATGTAATTCTGAGCGTTCATTTATGTCTGGATTTTGCAAATCTTTTCACTCTTTCAAATTTATTGTGTCGTCAATTTTTCTGTATCCCATTTAAACATGACTTCACATGTCAATTTTTGTATGGGTTATGATAGATTTATTTGTGGACATGCGACATTTTTGAAAAAGTTTCATAAGCAATTCATTTTCCAATCTGTTCATTTATTTATTTTATTCATTATTCCTGCTTCATATGCAGTACATATATAGAGCTCTTCACTTTTTTTTCGCCTTCCCAGAATTATTTGGGGCGTTCGTGTTTGCTGTAAATTTATCAGTACAGTAAGGGTAAAGACTCCCCGTGACGCATAGGGTGAAAAAGCTGGATATAAATACTGTATTATCATTGTTGGAATATTTATATGAGGACCCCAAAGAATTTTGTGTAGGGTTTTGGGTGCTACTATATGTATAAGTGCGTAACGCGTTTCACTCCGTATTTCGGTCAATTTGCTGCTCATAAGTACAGTACTGTACCGTTCAGTCCATTGGGTGACGTGTATATACTTCATAGCAGCTATAGGGAACTTGTTATTGGTACTGCGAATGCACCCGAAGCGTAACCTAGCTGTACTTTCCACACTAAAGCTGCTTTTTGTTATTTGCGACATACTGTATGCTTGATTTCACTCACGATTTCATCGTCAGTTTCTCAGCAAAAAAGACTTCAGTACGTTGTCCATTTATAGCGACAATAAGCGTCGTCAGCTGCTGCATTTCCATCACGCCCGCTGAAGTTCCTCTCAGCAATATTGCTGCAAATTTGCCCGCGAAAAAAAATACATTCAGGTTTTCACATTTCAGCTGGCTTCTCGTCGTCATCATCGTCAGCCCAGCAACTACTGTACAAACAATATTTTCGCATCAAACGCATTCGCGTCTCCAGGACGTTGGAAAGGCCCGCGCGACTCGTCGTCGTCATCTGTGCTGCAGGCTATTACATTTCCTTCGCACGTGTGCATCACATCTCGCTGATGGTTCCACTTGAATCCTATATAGGGGTGAAAAAATGGCTCCGATGGCTATCTGCGTGGGGTTTTGCAAATAAACGGAATGCAAATAAACGAGGTGTACAGTTGTGTCAACCTTCTTATTTTCCATGCTGCGCGGGCCAGGTGGAGGACGAGAGATCTCCGTTGCTGATGAAAATAGCCAGAGAAAAAGCGGACATACACAGTGAGACCCCAAGATGTGGATGTAATTGGTGCATCAAGAGTGTCCCTATGCTGAAATGTCCCCAAGTCAAGTCTCATTTTCCATTATATCATTACATTATATAATTTTTAATTGGCGTTTTATGTACAAATTACTCACCAGAATTTCATGAGAATAAAAATGTTCTCCCACACTAAAC